CGGCGTCTCCCCCCCCTCTTCCCCCCAATAGTTTGAAATTACTCTCCTCAAAAGTTGTGTGCGAGTCACGCCTCAGCCTTGCGGGCAGTGCTGGCTGGCGCTGCTTCTGAGCTGCAGGGAAGCGCATCGGGGTTCCTGCTGTTCCTCCTTTGAAGGCCCCGCTCCCAGCCCCCTGCAGTTGTTGTCCCCCATCTTTAAACTCCTCAGCCTGCACCCCACCCCGCTGCTAAAGGGGCCTCAGTGGAGAGAGGTCTGAGCTCTGTTAGTTGGGGTTTGATTTCAGTACAGGAGTTGATAAAATGAGATAAACCGCGGGCTCACGGGGCCGGGGAAATTAAACAGAGATGATATCAAAGTTCCCCTGAGTTTTCAGCTGTGATACAGTAGCTTAGTTTTCTCCCAGACTGGGGCCGGGAGGCACGCCTTTGATTCTGAAACAATGTTCAGCATCAGTTAAGCCCAGCACTGCTGACTTTTAGGGATTAAGCAAACTGTTGTAGTGATTCTTTGATCAGCTACAAGGGAGCAGTGTGCTGTCTGTATGAAGGGGCTTTATAGTTAAAGTTCATTTCTCTGTGAACCTGGGATGACAGCATTGGCGAGGTGCTGCAGTGCTGGGAGCTGGGGCCTCCCCCAGGCACTGTTTGCAGCATTGCAGGCAGAAGCAGGAAGCGGTTTTCTTCTTCCGCCCTGTGTTGTCGCATCATATCCATCCAGCATGGCATGGAAAGAATCCTCTGGCTTGGAAAACACACCTCACCCCAGCTAGTCTTAGTATGTATATGCAAGGCATGTGCGCACACACACGCACACATACACACACATGCACACACGCACTCCCACCTTGCAGAATACAGGAACAGCTGCCCAGAGCCCAGCTCTGCAGCCCCCCAGACTTGCAAATGATCTAGCAGAGGCTGCCTGCGCGCTGAAGGTAGAGATTGGGATGGGATTGGGACCAGATGGCCCAGGAGGTTCAATTAGGAGGATAAGCTCAAGGTCAGTGTTGCCACCGCACTCTCTCCATGCCCAAGAGCAAACCCAACTCCCAGGTGCTGCCACCACCTTCCTTCCTTGCCTGGCATTTACTGAGAACCTACTTAGTTTCATGTCGGCTCCGTCCTGTGATTCTCAGTAATTTCAGCATCTGTTGCCATCTGAAGTACTGGGTCCACTTTGGGCTTGCACTGTAGAGACCCTCCTTGCAGCCACAGCCAGGATGGTAGAAGTTTCTCAAATTGCTCCCTCCCCCTGGTTGGCCTGCGACTTGCAGTTGTAATGGAGCCCCTGTGTGCTGTCGATAGGCTCGCACCGCACCATGCATCAACCTATTCCCTCCTGTGCAGCGCTCGGATCTCCCTCATTAGGCCTAAATTTACCTCCGTCCTACACAAACATGGCCTTAGCTCATTTTTATTGTTGTAAATTATTTATGAGGGAGATGTTGAATCTTGAAACGGAGGTTCGAGGGAAATTAATCCCATGTTACTTTTATCTTGCTGTACTTTTCTCCCCCTTGCTTCACTTGCTGGGCTATGGCTAGAGAAAGAAGAGCTTTCCATTTTTACCATAATTAGTGTTGAAACTGGTTTTCCAGTCGGATATGGGATGGGATGGCGGCGTCCCTCTGCACGGTACCATGGGAAGCAGACCTGGCTGGGGAAGGAGGGCAGAGGTCCTGTTAGGCTCTGCCTCTGCCAGCTGCATGGTGTCTGAGAACGCCAGGCCTCCGCTTGCTCTCCTGTACGATAGGGACCATGCAACCCAGCCACCTCCCAGGTTTGGTGTGGGCATCGGTGGAGAAGCAGCCTGAGAAAGCTTCCTGAGGATTGCAGGGCTCTGTACACGCACGCAGCAGGTGTGTGTGTGCAGCAGGCATGTGTGTGTGTGTGCAGCAGGGGTGTATGTGTGTGTGCAGCAGGGGTGTGTGTGCAGCAGGGGTGTGTGTGTGCAGCAGGGGTGTGTGTGCAGCAGGCGTGTGTGTGCAGCAGAGGTGTGTGTGCAGCAGGGGTGTGTGTGTGCAGCAGGGGTGTGTGTGTGTGCAGCAGGCGCGTGTGTGCAGCAGGGGTGTGTGTGCAGCAGGGGTGTGTGTGCAGCAGGGGTGTGTGTGTGCAGCAGGGGTGTGTGTGCAGCAGGGGTGTGTGTGTGCAGCAGGGGTGTGTGTGTGCAGCAGGGGTGTGTGTGCAGCAGGGATGTGTGTGCAGCAGGCGCGTGTGTGCAGCAGGGGTGTGTGCAGCAGGGGTGTGTGCAGTTAGAGATGGAGGATGCTGGTGGGGAGCTGCTGAGGGCGAACCGGGAGTTGTGGCGAGTAGGCCCTGGGATCGGGCTCTAGACCAGCATGGCCTCTTGCAAGGCAGGTTCATGCTGGTTTTGAACACCCTGCGCCTCCTCGCCCTCCCCGGCAGATGTGCCCCCTCGCAGGCCGGCGTCCACACCCCCCCCCCCCAGGGGCCTGGCCTGTGACCCCCCAGCTCCAGGCTCCACAGCCCGCAGACGCGAGCGCCGGTTAATAAATGGCCTTTTGTTAGGAGGTCAATTGAAGTGACGGTGGAGGCGCTGTTAAAAGTAATTTGCAGTCAGAAAATATGTAACTCAGGGCGGCCGCTCTGAGTGATGGGCTCCGCCGTGGATGTCTTGGGCGTTTCTCATTAGCAGCTTCCTCCGCTGCCGCTGCTGCTCCCTCCACCGCCCGCTGGCCTCGGCCCCGCGGCGTCATTTGTCTGCATTTCACAAAGGCTGCCCGGATCCCCGGGGTGAGCAGCCCGGGAAGGAACACCACGGCGTGCGGGATGCTCCGCAGACGACGGAGCAGCCTCCCTCCTGCGGGCTGGGCTGCGCCCACGGCCGAGGCCCTTTGTCTGCTCGGCCGGGAGCGGCCATCTTGGACCCGCTGCGGGGCTGCCGCGGTGCATCCTGGGAGCGCATCCCCGCCACCGGCGGGTCCCCGCCCGCACCTGACAGCGGCGCCGAGCTGAGCCGAGCCATTGTCATCAGTGCCTCGTGCAGGATATTGGAACCCGAGGACGTGAATCTCTCAGCAAATAGAATATTTCTTCTTTATTCCCAGGCTCACCTCCCCTCCTCTCTTGGATAGTAGAGGCAGTACTCTCTTAATAAAGAAAAAACTTACCTCGCATGTTCTTTATTAAATTCACAGCGTGATATTTCAGCACTAGTAGAATTCGTGCATTCTGTTAATGAGTTGTTAATTGCAAAGCATTTTGGTAACCAGCAGCAGGTACCCATATTTTGCAAACTGCAGCATTGTTGTTGTTAGGTTACCGATAAGAGGGGATTTTCCAAGTGAAGATACTTTTTGATCAGTGTTTGCTTGGGATTGTGCTGGTGCAGATATTTAATGACAGACCTTCTCTTATTGGGGGCGTGCGTGGGCATTCATTCATTCAGTAAATATATACTTTAAACCTCCTGTGTGTGGGGAGCACTAAGCCCTGTGCTTTATGCAGATAACCCTACCTGATAAATGACACTTTAAAAAGAGAAAATGATGCAGTGATGCAACGTGGTGTCCTGGGCCCTGCCCTGGGCTCCCAGAAGCTTATTTTCAGCAGACTTAAGTAAAGCGTAACTTGGTTTGCTTTTGTCACAAACAGACGCTGAGAGTGCAGCTGCTGCCAGGCTAGGAAACACCTTGATAGGAGATTTGGCTGCATTGTGTTAAGTCTGTTTCCGGAGCCTTTTGTGGGGTCCTGGATGCTGATTACATGGGGGACTTGCATATAGCATTTTGGTTGTTCCTGTTTAGGAGGCACACTCCTTTTTAATAGCCTCTGCCTTTTCTGATTCTCGGCTGAGAACTAAGAATATTCCTCCTGCCTGCCGAGTTAGGCAGGGTGTTTGGTTTGCTTTAGAAGCAGTAACCAGCCTTGAGAGATCTGGCAGACCTATAGCCAGTGGAACTTAATTGTTGCAGAAGGAGGTGGAATTTAACTTGCTCTTTTTCAAGGCTTGTCCTTTTAAAAGTACTAAAAGTCATTTACATAAGGTGTTACCTTTTTTATTTGCTTTCTGGTGCACTGCCACTCAGCTGCCCAGACCCAGAGCTCTCTATATACTGCTTGTCTCCTCTGGTCACATCAAGGGGCAGTCAGCAGCAGAATAATAATTCCAGTTCCCCTCCCTTTCTCCCCAAGTGCCCAGCAAGAACTACGGTCATTGTTAGTGTTTAGCTTTGAGTAAATGCCCACGACCTGCAGGATTAAACACAAAAAAGGGACCTTCCAGTCCTCTTGGGAGTGATGCCTACCACGTTTCTGGTCAGTTACCCTGGGCATGTGTACCCCAAACCCCACCAGCCTCATCTGCTCTTTGTTGAGTGCCCACTGTGTGCCAGGGACCGCTCCAGGGCCTTCCTGTACGTGACTCTTGGCTCTCACAGCTGCTCTGGGACTGTCAGTACCAAGACTCCGTGTCGTCAAGGCTGTGGAGCCTGGACTTGAACCATTCCTTTGCCTCCATGCCGGGAGACTGTCTTCCAGGCGTGTGTGTGCAAAGCTCTGTCCGCTGCACAGCCCCGCTTGGCTGGGGCAGAGACTGTAGGTTTGGAAGTCTGCACCTCCAGAGGAAATAGTACAGGGAGGGAAACGCAAGGTGGGGTTAGACTTAGTCAAGTCTGACTTATCCTCAGAGAGGCTACTGGTGTCTGTTCAGAGTCAGGCAGCTGGTGGGAGATTTGAGAATGGTTTGCCTTTGGGTCTGAGTTTAAATTACATGCATACTCAGAGCAGGGACAAGCCCTCATTAACTGTGTTAGCTCAGTGCTCAAGGCTAACTTGAGACAAGCGGAGGCCAGTGATGTTTTGAATTCTTGCTCTGAGGAAAGAGTCAGGTGGGGTCAGGGCTCCTTTAGCTCTTAAAGGAAGTGGCACTCAGCTCAGGATATTGGCCCCGAGAGTCCGGTTCTATCTGCGTGAGACTTTGCATTGTTCACGTTAAGCGCCGAGTTTGAATTCTGTGCTTTCTTTTTCCTTTTCGGAACCAGGACAAGTCCACCATGCCTGAAGTCAGAGACCTTTCCGAAGCCTTGCCGGAGACGCCCATGGACCCCATCACAGGCGTGGGGGTGGTGGCTTCGCGGAACCGCGCCCCGACAGGCTACGATGTAGTAAGTCAGGATTCCGCTTCGTACCTTTTGTTCACGGATTCAACAGATGTTTACCTCCTGTGTTCAAGACCCTCTGAACCTTGTGTGTAAGATATGTTTCTTCCCTCTAGGAACTTAAGCAGGGAGGGGGAGAGCACCAGTGGGCAGGCAGGGGAGTGTCCTGGATTGGGAGTCAGAGGGCCGGAGCCTGTCTGGGCTGTCCCTGGCCGAGTCCCTTGGCCTCTGGGATGCTCATTTTCACCTTCTGTAAAATCCAGGGGCTGGATTCATTGATTTCCGGTCACTTCTCGTTGTGACATTGCATGAAAAGGATCCAAGTGTCTGAAAGACCCTTGGCGATTGTCATAGAGTGTCCCCCACGGATACATGTCACATACAGTCGTACCGCTCTTACCGCTTCCAGAGCAGTGTCCTCCCAGCAGCTCATGTAGCTCACGGCTGCGCTGGGAGGGCCAGTAGCTGCATCTCTGCTGCTGAGGAGAACCCGAGCTCCGGGAGGTGAAAGGACAGAGTCTCCGTCCTCGGGGGCAGGTCAGGACCCGACCCCCCCCCCCTCCAAGCCCAGCGCTCTGACTGACCCACCACCCCGCTTGGCAGGAACGTGCCTTGCTTTTCGGCAGATGTTGGTAGTGGTCAGTAGCACTGATGGCCGGAACTGGTTCTTTTGTTGTTTCCATAAATAAACTCCGATTTGGGTGGAGCTTTAAAAAATACAGAGAAACATCAGGAGGGTGTAGTAAACACTGACCCTGGTTCTGAGATTCCGAAGTGGCCTTACTTCCCTCTTGTTTAGGGCAGCGTTTTATTCTTGTTCGTTGAGCGGGTGTACCAAGACTCGTAAAGAAGGAGGGCCTCGGCAGCCAGCATGGGGACCTGCCGCGGTGATGAGATGAGTGTCTGGCTCCCAGGTGGGCCCCGAAGGAGCCCCGTGGCAGGGTCTCTCAGCCCTGGCATGATGGACGTTTTGGGCCTGATAATCACATACCTTTGTGCTGTGGGCTGTCCTGTGGTCATAGGATGTTTCGCAGCTTCCTTGGCCTCTACCTACCAGATGCCAGTGGCACCAACCCCCCAAATTGGACAACCAAAAACGTGTCCAGAAATTGCCAGCTGTCCCCAGGCTGAGGGGTGGGGGGGCAGGATCAGCCCCCGCTGAGAACGGTGCCGGGTGCAGGGGTCAGCGGCACTGGGTCCTGTGGGAGGGGAGCAGCCTGTTAAAATGTTCCGTGTTACTTTCCCAGCTGTTTGAAAGCTTATAAACATTTTAAACGTGAAGGGACGAGGGAATCTTTTTTGACAAAGATTTGAGTCTTCCTGCTGCCTGACTTCAAAGCACTGTTTGAATGTATAACTTGTCATAAAATAGAATCATTAGGTATGGCTTCGTGCCATAAAACTCTTGAGGAAGCTAATAAAGCTGTTCCCGATTTGAGAAGCCAGTGTCTTTTGATGAATTAGATATGAAGCAGCACGCTGTGCGTGGGGCAGGGCCAGCGCTCGCCATCTCTGGGGGGACTGGCCCTGGGTTGCCCTCCTGGGAAGGCTCCTGCTGGGCTCACCCCCCGGGCGCAGGTCTCCCACCTTCGTGCTCGGCCGTTTCGCTGATCTGTGTCCTTCACATTCTGCTGGTGCCTTTGGGGTCGTCTCGGATGCTTGCTGGTGGGCGGCAGATGGCCTTTGATCGTCTGGTTTTCTGAAAGTCTTGGTAAGTCTGACAGGAGCAGAATCCATCCCTATCATTTTCTCCTAACATCGAGCTCAGGGCAGAGGGGCGCAGTGTCAAATGAGTGAAATTAATAAGCACATCTCATGATTATGCCGCGCCGTGCATTACAGTGGAAGGTGAGCAGGGCAAGGGGCGCCAGGGGCGGCCTGGCAATTACCCAGCCTCTGCGCCGGGACGAGCGCGGCCGAGCTCCTCCGGAAGCCCTTTCCGGGAGAGAGTTGGAATCGTCTCGCTGTGCTGACCTCTGGACTCTTCTAGATACACAGCTGGTTCCCAGAGGCCTGACCCCGAGTTCAAGGGCAATGAGGGGATTTGCTTTTATCTGGAGTTTTGTGTGAAGTCAACATCCAAACCGGGATGTGAGGTGTTTGACGGTGGCTGGGCCACGGAGAGGCTTGGAGCCGCTGCGGACCATCCGCTGGGGAGCGATCTGTCCCTGCGCAGTGGGGAGCGATCTGTCCCTGCGCAGTCACACTGGGCACCGGGACCGTGCAGTCACACTGGGCACCGGGACCGTGCAGTCACACTGGGCACCGGGACCGCGCAGTCACACTGGGCACCGGGACCGTGCAGTCACACTGGGCACCGGGACCGCGCAGTCACACTGGGCACTGGGACCGCGCAGTCACACTGGGCACCGGGACCGTGCAGCCCGAGGGTTGGGCACCAGGTGGACGCCGACCCGGGCAGCACAGCCACTTTCAAATGGGCACAGGCCCTGGTGCCGCTCCAAGTAAGCGATGCCCAGTGTTTGCTTATGAACATTTAATGTTATAACTCCTCTCCAGGTCAGGGGAAGCTGCCTCCTAGGCGAGGGGCTGAGGATTATTTGCTAAACTTCTTCATTTATTGTCCTGATTCCTGCATTCCTCTCTGAAATAGCCAACACCCTCCCACCCCACCTCCCCGTTCCACGGCCTCGCTCTCTGGTCTTGGAGTGGCGGCTGCCGGCAGCGGGCGGGTGGGTCTCACGTGTCCTTGTGATGCCACCACACCTGTATAATGACTCTAGATGCTGGGTGTTTGCTGAGGGTAGTACATGCTGTTTTTTTCATACGTGGATGCTTCAGAGTTGCCTAAAGGGTGAGTGAAATGAGACTGGAAGGTGGAGGTGGCTGTGAACTTGGTGGCAGGCTCAGGAGCAAGATTGCAGTGGACTGACGAGCCCAGTAGAAGTGGGAAGTGACGATGGGAGGCCGAGTGACGACAGCCTTTAAAGAAGGAGGATACAGGGAAGTGGTCCCTAGAGGATGACGTGGGCTCATGGGTCTTTTTTTCTTTGTTTAAAAGTGGAAGGTGTTGGGCATGTTCAGTTGCTGATGGGAAGGAACCAGCAGTGTGTGTGTGGCCGGGGAGGGGGCGGGGGGGACAGTGTAGGACAGAGCTGCTGGCTGACAGGGCCGAGCTCCAGAGGGCAGAGGACTGGCATCCTGAGCTGCAGAGTGAAGCCAGGAAGTCATGTTTTCTAGCTCTTCTTCCTATGGCTGGGAAGCCAGCTGTGACCTTTGACCTCCGAGGGGGCCTCCCGGGGCTGTGCATGGGCCAGTCATCCGGAAGTCCCCACTTTCATTCCTTCCTTTCTGCTTTCTCGCTCCCTCCATCTCCCTTTCTCTCAGCACTCCTGTTTATTTCTGAAACCATTAGACCACAAAACATTTCTTAAAAACCGTGGGCCTGTATAATTTGTATATGCCCTAAATGTGTTTGGGAGTTTCTAAATAATTGGAAGGTTCAGTTGCTTGAACGGTCAGGTGTGAGGACTTTGGGGTACCAGGAGCGATCGGCTTCCCTCTGGACCAGTGGGCCCTGTCTAGGGGACATAGAGAGGATATCTTTAAAATCCTAAACCTGCAAGTAAGGTCCTACATCTTACTCACCAAAGTAGAAAAAGAGAAGAAAAATCTTGTAAGTGCTGATGCAGATTCAAGCAGGCTGGTGTTTTTATATCGCGCTCAAGATATAAAGGTCACATGAAAGCACGTGAAGGTGGCAACGATATCTAATTAGAAACATGGGGTAGATAGTGAGCGAGTGAGGCTGTCCCGTCTGATCACAGCTGTCACTGTCGCTCCAGAAGCCGCAGTTGGGGAGGAGGGGCGAGCAGGGCAGGAAGCCACCCTCTTCCTCCTGGCGGAGGACTGGTGGGCCCAAAGCCTCCTGTGCTGTCCTCCGGGAGCCCTGCCTCTGAGAAGCAAAAGCAGAAGCAAGGGCAGCAGCTTTTCCTGCTGCCTCCAGTTCCCTCCCCACGTGGCTCTGCCGTCAGGGCTGCTCCCAATTCGGAAATAACCACAGGCTAAGTCCCGCCTCACACGCTGGTTTATTTTCAGAACCAGAGCTGGTGTTGATAAAAGGTACCAGGTGTTCCTCCCTTTAGTTCTGTTAGAAAATACATTGAACTGAGATTTACTGGAAACACGGAAAACGGTTTTATGACCAGCCCCTAGGCCTTTGTATAACTCTGGCATCTTCCCTGGCCATTGCCCGGCAGAGCTCCGGCCTCGGGGCGTGGAGCGAGCCAGAGAGGAAGCACATGGGCTACTTGTGCCTGGCATCCAGGAGGTGGGCGAGAAGCAAACATTGGCCTTTGTTAGGATGAGTCGATCAGAAATAGTCCAGCCCGGGTGGCTCAGTGGTGGGGCTTTGGCCCAGGAACCAGGAGGTCAGGGTTCGATTCCTGCACATGCCCAGGTTGCAGGCTCAATCCCCAGGAGGGGGCATGCAGGAGGCAGCCGATCAATGATGTTTCTCTCTTATGGATGTTTCTAGCTATCCCTCTCCCTTCCCCTCTCTCTCTAAAAATCAATAAAAACATATTTTTAAAAAGGAAGAAAGAGTGCCTTAAACTGCCTCCTTCTGAACTTTTCTCCCCGACCAACTAGGAATCTTGGTTTTGACCCAAAGATTGCAATAATGACTTATTCCGTAGTGGAGGGGACCCCGGGGCACAATCCAGTGTTCTGGCGCTTCCTCTGTTCACTGGAACTTCCTGTCCATTATTTAGAAAAGCTTCTAACAATGAAACCTCAGTTGGTTGGATTAATGGAAAAGATGAGGGACCTGCTTTAATTTTCCTTTCATTGTTTTCGGTTAAACTTTCTATTTTGAGATCATTAGAATCCGCGTGGAGTCTTAGGAAGTAGGATGCAGAGACCTTGTTTACCCTTTTCCCAGCTTCCCCCAGTGTAACACCTTGCAAACTGTAGTACAATCTCCCAACCTGGATGTTGACACGCATATGGTCAAGACACAGAACATTGCTGTTTTTAAATGTACT